TCGACTGTTCTATTCTCAACAGGGGTGGAAGAGAGAGAGAGAGATCTTAATTACTTCTGAATACTATTGTAGTCTATATTGAAATTAACCTTGCTCAGGCTTGTGCCATGGAGAAGAGACTCCTGCCTCGCCTCACCGCGACGGCAAAACACGACAAGCAACAGTCTACTGATGGGAGGATTCTGAACGTCCTTCTGTACGGAGAACTAGCCACCGGCAAGAGGACGACTTGATTTTCGCTTCAAGAACGTGTGCAAAAGGGACATGAGGGCGATGGACGTGGACATCGGGAGGTGAAAAGACGTCGTCAACCGTTGCTCACGCTGGAGACGCAATTTACACCGAGGCTTGGAGCGAGGAGAGAAGGAAAGGAGGCTTGCCGTGGGGGGTGGAGAGCGTCTTCACATGCATTCGTCGCAATCGACACTGTCAATCCAGTGTGGACCCGTAGAACCATAACAGATCCTGCGCCGCATTCAGCAGCTGAAGCATAACTTTTGGGGCGCAGATTCATGGTCTTTCGAGAGCGATGGATACCCCCCCGACCAACACATTTACCACACACACACACACATAATTATTTACACTATTTACATTTGGACAATTGTCCTGATCTTTGTAGTTGTTATCACAACGTTTCGGTCTTTTTATCTTCCGACCTTCATCAGCGGTTGTATATCAATCCGGGTAACCTACAGGGAATTCTGAACTGACCTCTTTATTTTATCTACGGGTTTAGACCTTTCTCGTTTCACTGTCCATGTCTAGGAATAACAACAACAAATATGAGGATAATAGTCGGAATGAAAATAGTGCAAATAATGTTAACTCCTCATCGCGAAAATTCTGATAGAAATTAATGTCTACTGACCTAGAGATTAAGAGTCTGACTTGAGAAAATAAATCTCCAGACAGGATTCTTGACATCCTTAGTATCCCTTGTAAATAAAGAAATAGTTTAAACAGTCTAATAAATAAATAGAGTTTATTATTTTTGTTGTCAATTCTCAAGAACAAAGAAAATGTATAAATTCTCTTTCGTACGTTTAACCTATATTACAATTCTAATCATTGTTTTTTAAAACAATATAAACATCAGCGAAGACTGAAATTAGTTAAGAAAACCGTGTAATAGGAAAAACAGTCCTTTTGACACAATGCGTTGCTGTGGACACGTCCATCCATTTTTACTTATAATTATTTCAATAAGAACATTACTTAAGTTTGAAGTCCTTTCTCAGATCAAAACGCATTACATAGAATTTTGTATATTTTTGTTATTCAATTCAGCAAACATCTAGAAGACAATCTACTCACAAATAGGAGGGTCGGCCGAAAACTTCATAGGATGACTATGAAGGTGTGATGCTAGAGCTGTGACATCTTATATGCGTTAATTCCATTCTCTACTTATTCATAACTGCATTGTTTCTTTCCAGATAAACTTGACATCTGATTGATCAAAGAAGGCTTCACATGTAACAAGCAGTGACTTCTCCTGGAAATGGACGAAATTTTGACATCGTGATGTTATCAATTATCTGCAGATAAAGGGCTTAAACAAGACTATCACCCCAGGATGACATGGTTGCTACATTAAGGGATGATGTGCATAAGTGGGGATTTAGGAGAGAAAGGGAGAGTCTTGAATGTCTGGGGATCCTGCAACTACTACGCCCGTGGAAACCACTGATTGTGTTCACTAGATGTTAATGGATGACAGGCGATTGAATATCAATCAAATAGACAATGCTATAAGCATATCTCTTGAGAGAGTTGAGAATATTCTGCACAATGAACTTGGCATGACAATGGTTTTTGATCGACTTTCTCTAACACTTAATCAAAAGTGCTCTAGACTGAACATATCCCGGGAAAATCTGACATTGTTTCAGGCAAATCCAGCTGGTTTCCTAACCCAGGAAAAGTGTTGGGATTATCAACTTGAGCCAGAGACAAAGAGACAATCCCTCCTCACTTGCTTCAAAGAAGACCAAGGTCGTTTCATCTTCAGAGAAAGTGATGGCCCCAGAGTTTTGGAATGCCACATGCATTGTTCTTATTGGCTATCTTCAAAAGGACCACCAATGCCAACTTGTTGAATCAGCTACGAAAGGCTACCAAGATCAGAAGACCCTATAAAACTGATGAAAGGGCTCCTGTTTCATCAGGACAATGCGCCTGCCCACAAGTCCTTGATTCCAATCTATATTACTGGCTTTGAATTGGTTGATCACCTTCCCTATTCATCAAATTTTTCTCCACCTGATTATCATCTGTTCCCCAACCTGAAAAAAAAAAACACTTGGCTGGAAACTAGTTGTTGTAAAGTAATTTTCACAGTGGAGGCTTGTATTTCACGAAGTCGGCCCTAAATTAGGTTCGACGTACAAAACGTTAGGAACTAGAAATAATAGTTAATGACGCAGCAATCTAGTTGTGGGGCTCATACTTTAATGTCCGACATCGACTGACTCACACAACTCACTGAGCTTCACTGGCGACTGCTACTACTACTACTTATCTGTGGGAGAGTCTATTTACAATAGAATTGGTACGTTCCGGTATAACACTAGTGTAGCAGTGATTACATCATATCTGCTGCTAATGACTTTTTTGACCAACAGGATAAACAGTTTTCTTTGAACAGACAGATGTCAATTTACCTGAGGAGAAACTACGCAGTTATTAATAAGAAGAGATTGAAATTAACGCATGCAAGATTTCAGACCTCTAGCCTCATTCCTTCATAGTCAGCCTATGAACATTTCAGCCCAACTGTCGTATATCAGCGATAGTAAATACATTCTGCAATTTTTAGATTTCTGGGAATAAGAGGTTTCCTTTTTCTCACAGGTTTATACTTTGACGGGGGCGGAAGATAAAAACATTGATATTTCAACAATCTCCGTTGAGGTTCTTAGAACAGCCTGCCTTACAATATTATATATGTTGTAACCTAGGGAAGGTTACTGAATAGAATAATCACACGAAGGTTTTTAATGAACAATAATACTTAGGACAAGAACAACACACATAAGATTCGTCAGCGGCGAGTAGGAGTAGTCAATTGCTCGAAGTGTGTCAAGTGGATTCCACAATGAATCTTCAACTGCAGACCAACATACAGTATTTACTACTGTATCTATGTGAATAGGGACATACCCGTTATTGTCTGTAGGTATTCTACAACAATATATGATATCAGTAATAATAAATCAATGGAAAAATAAAATTTCCATATTTCGGAGGTTTGCTTTAATCTTCTTAGCTTATAATTTTATATATCATTCATAATATATTTATGAAAATGAAAAAGCTTTTGATGTTTTCATAGTCTATATTAAAGTTCACAGAATGGGCAATTTTATACAATATATGATATCAGTATCAATAATACGATAGAAAAATTGGCTTTTTTATATTCAACGTTAATCTTCTTAGCTTCTGATTTTATATATCATTCATAATGGGATAACGATATATAAATGTTTATATATCGAGACCAGTTTTGGAGGAAAGATGCATGGCAAAGTTGAAAAAGTTTTCGCGTGACGCGATGAAGTCCTAAGGGACGAAACGCCGTCAGACGAAAACTTTTTTCCACTTTGTCTTACATCATTGATAATATATATATATAGTAAAACAAAAAAAAACAACTAATATTTTAGTAATCTATATTAAAGTCCACAGGACTATATGATTTTATTAAAAATAAGAAAAGGAAATAACAAAAGAGACCGGTAAAAAAAAAATTTATATTACCGTAAGGTGGTAATATCGAAGTAAAAAACACAAAATGAAACGTTAAAACTGATTTTTTGGTTGTGTTTTGTATTTCAGTATTACCACCTTACGGTAATATATAGTTTTTTTGTTAACTGCCTTTTTTATCATTTTTTTTTTATTTTTATTTTTATTTTTATTTTAACCCTTCTAGCCCTGTGTTTCTGAACAGTTTTAACCATTCTGCCTGAGATCCTCGGCCGCCTAATTACACACACTATGTGCATGTGCGTGTATATATATATATATAGATATATATATATATATATATATATATAATTTATGAAAAACTAGGTAATCCGTATGGGTAAACCTAAGGAGGATAAAATCCAGAGAGCTCAATGTAAATCCAGAGCAAATAATTTAAATTAAATAAATTATTTTATTTAAATTATATATATATATATAATTTAAATTAAATAAATTATTTTATTTAAAATTATATATATATATATATATATATATATATATATATATATAGTGTATGTAAATTTTATTAGATTACCATTTTATTTATTAACCTGATTATATATATATATATATATATATATATATATATATATATATATAATGAAAGTTTGTATTAACCCTTTTAGCCCTGCGTCTCTGAACAATTTTAACCCTTCTGTCTGAGCTCCTGAGTTAAAATTCGCAAATAATTGGTATGTAATATTTCACGGTAGATATAAAAATAGTTACAAATGTCTACCCACCGTTCAACCGGTAGCTAAGTATTACGTCATTTTTCTCTACCATCGGTTAAGCGGTGGTCAGGGCACAAAAGGTTAATAATAGATCTATTAAAATTACGTTTCGATATTTCCATAGTCTGTGTTATAATTATTAGTTTGTAAAGTCTCATATGATATACCTATTAGATTTGATTACTTAAACGTTAATTTTTTTTATGGATACTCATATTTGTGTAGACGCTCCTTTTATTTATTAAGCAGTATTCATTTACGTCTACCGGCCTGAATATTCGAGAAATCTTATTAAAGAAAAATATGAGCTCTCCGACAGGTTTCGAACGTGCGTCCCTTTAGTTTATAATGTTCCATATGATATTATTAATAATAATAAATAAATAGTTTTTTTTTTCTTTTCCCAGAGTGCACCTGACAAGGGCTGACGATATGAACCAGCTGAAACGCTGAGTGGAGTCCTCGGTGTGGTATAGAGCCACAGCCTCGCGTTATAGAGCCACAGCCTCGCGGTATAGAGCCACAGCCTCGTGGTATAGAGCCACGGCCTCGCAGTATAGAGCCATGGCCTCGCGGTATAGATCCACAGCCTCGTGGTATAGAGCCACGGCCTCGCGGTATAGAGCCACAGCCTCGCGGTATAGAGCCACAGCCTCGCAGTACAGAGCCACAGCCTCGCCGTATAGATCCACAGCCTCGCGGTATAGATCCACAGCCTCGCAACACTGTTGTGGTTTCCGTAGCAGGTAAGTTTGTACAAGAAGTTGCCAGCTCCCGTCCCTACCGGTTTTGAATTCAGAGTGATGTTTCTCCCAGGGAGCCAAGTCTGCCTTGCTATTAACCTCTAGTCCAAGGGAGAACAGCCCGACTCATAACTTTCCCAAGTGTATTCGCGCAAAAGTGAACGCAACAGCCTTGGCAGGAATTCGAACTCGGCACGCCAACACCGCATTCTTAATGACGCTTCTCATAGATAAGATAATATATCATGGCGGCTGTTGTTTGTTCAACAAGAAACAATTGTTAAATAATGACGATAAAAAAAAATAATAATAAAGATCTCTTGGCAATGTTTCACGATCGTACCCTCAAAAAATGGTATATCAAAAGGTTGGTTATTCCCTTGACACCGCTATTACTGTATACACTTTTAACTCCATCGGAAATGTTTATTTACATTATAAAAATATGTGAACCAAGTACAATGCGAACCAATATTTATTATTTACCATTTACACACACGAATACAAAAAAATACAGAAAAAATACTTACACCAAAGTTAAATGTATATAAAAAGGAAAACGTTGAAAAAATATAAGCAGTCAATTGCTGATATCCCCTGAAGAGTGGACTGGCGGGTGCGTCTACGAAACTCTGGAGTCGGGATGCTGAAGGTAACATCAATCAGCTAAGTGCCAAACCTTTACACACGTTAATCTTTATATTTATTCAGTAACATACAGAATTGTGGCACAAGGCCTGTACTCACATTATTCTTGGTTACCTTTTATTATTTACCATTTTATAAAGAAATAAATTTGAAAAGAAATCTTTTTATTCAAAAATTTATAAAAAGAAAAAATTACATAATTATCAAAACGTATAAACCAATTGTAATATTTGCGATAAAAAATTACAGACATTCTGTAATCAAACGCATGGGAAAATTTGCCCATCCAATGAATAAAGAGATAGGCACTCAAAATATTGAGTGTTTGTAGTCTTGCCTAAAATCTAAAATGAAAACAATGTTTGGTTCATCAGCCTATTTTAGGGAATTTATGTGGCCAGTGCAAATGAAAGAAATCCCCAGAAAATTCATTTTTTTTTAAGTTCTTAATTGTATTCACTAGTCATTATGAGTTTATTTAAATTTTCTTGTTCACAGATAGTTTTATAAGTTTATGAACAAAAAATAATTCTTTTCACATTTATTTCTTTATAAAATGGTAAATAATAAATATTACATTGTACTCGGTTCCCATACTTTTATAATCTTGTAAATATAAAATTGTTCTTGTAAATAAGCAATCTAATGAATAAATAGTACTTAACATCTTTGTTGTCAGTTCTCAAGAATAAAGAAAATTAAAATGTCTAAATCCACTTTCATATTTTTGGATTTTATTGAAATTCTAATTGTTGCTTTTTAAAACAATGGACATTGCCTAGGGAGTCATGAGTGTATACAGTAATAGTGGTTTTATCATCTTGCAAATATAAAACTATTTTTGTAAATAAGCAATCTAATGAAATGTGCTTAACATCTTTGTCAGATCTCAAGAATAAAAAAAATTAAAATGTATAAATCCACTTTCATGTTTGGGTTTTATTGAAATTCTAATTGTTGCTTTTTAAAACAATGAACATTGCCGAGGGAGTCACGTGTGTATACAGTAATAGTGCTGTCAAGAGATTAACTGTCCTTTTGAACTCATTTTTTATTTTGGGGGGTACAGAGGTTAAACAATGCCCCACTTTTTTCTTTTGATTGTTCTGATTCCTTTTAAACATTAGTGTCACAGGGTTATTTTATTTGCAATAGTTTTCAAAGTTATTAACTATGATAGTTTTCTAGTTTGACAGAGAAGAGGATTAACAGGGGAGAACTATTATTTACATGTTTTACACACAGACTAATATCCTCATCATTGTTATCAGCACAACATTTTGACCCACTTCAGGTGTTTGTTGATCCAAGTAACCATCAAGGATTTTCAAACTGAATTTTTTCTTTATTTAATTTACTGGTGTTCTCGTTCGACAGTTCATGTTTAGGGATATCTCATTTTGTTCTTATTTAGTACTGTTCAGTTATTGCTTGCTCTCTTTACACCATTCAATAGCCGAAGGGAATTACAAATGGAACTCTTTATTTAATCTATGGGGATAGACTGTTCTTGTTCAACAGTCCATGTCTAGGGATATCTCATCTTGTTCTTATTTAGTAATTCTCAGTTATTGCTCACCCTGTTTCCACCAATCAATAGCTGAGGGGAATTACAAATGGAACTCTTTATTTAATCTATGGGGATAGACTGTTCTTGTTCCTCAGTTCGTGTCTAGGGATATCTTACCTTATTCTTATTTAGTACCGTTCATTTATTGTTTACCGTTTTTCCACTGGGTCTAATTTTGCAGTAATCTATCCAGAACTCACAATTCCTATGTTACCAAAGTCATAAACCAATTTCTTTAATCCACTAGACTTTCATCCTGTGTTTACAAAAAAAAGGGGAGAATGCCCCCCCTTTAACCTTATTACAGAGGAGATCACGGAAAGTAGAATCAGCACACCATATTCAAATTCTTAACCAGCCTTTTGCATTCACTTTTACACAGTTGCTCTTGGGCATGGCATGTTGATGTTACTTCTTTCCACATCTATGGGTTAAATAGCAGAGTAGACTGAGCTCTTGGGTGGCAACCAGGCTAAGAGAAGGAAAACTGAATTCAAACTATGGAGAAGGCAACAGGAAACCACTCGACTATATTTCACAAGAAGACATGGCAATTCACAGATAATAAAAGAAAAGAAGCAGGAGGGATATGGCATTTTATATTACAGACGAATCTCGTTTCGAAAGAATAATTCTCAGAAGCCCCCAAAAATCTGCAAGAAAATTTGTATTGTCGAATGGGAGTTTAGACTTGCCAACGTCTTTTTAGCAAAACTCTCGTTTTATCGGTCGTGATCAGAAATCTTCTCTAAGTTATGGTTAATGAGCAAATCAAAATCTCCAGCAGCCAAAGAAATATGGGTCCAGGATCCTGGAAAAAATCCGATGATGATGGATTGTTCAGAGTGTGGATCTTGCTGTAAAAATAAACTCCTTTTAGCATTTGTTTTAAAAAAAATATCCATGATCTTTCAAAGACTGCCATGACAGAAAATGCAAACATATTAAACATCTTTTCTTTTTTCTCAATTTCTTATGTATTATACCTATCTTTGGATGAAATTAATAGATAAACTGTGTTTTGTGCTGTTTGGAAAATCCACCAGACAAGCTATTTCTTTATTTGCCAGCTTGAATTTTAATTAATGAAAAAAATAAATAAAATTTAACTATGGTTTTGGAAGAAATCAAAACACTAGAAAATGGACTGTTGTGATTTGATGGCAATAAATTTATCTCAAAAATTCAGCATAATAATAACATTTTTATGTAGCTTTTTTTTTTTTTTTTTGACCCAATCCCATATGTTGAAAATTTATGTTTAAATAATTTTCTTTGTTTAGGGACATTAAAAAAAAATTCTTTAGTAAATAAACTTGGTGTATCAAAAATCTGTTTTTGCCATTTGGGTAGGATTCTAATGCATTGTGGGTAGAACACAAAAATAAAAATAAAAAATACTGTTCATTGCAGTGAATAAAAAATAGAAGCCATAATTGTCATTGGTCAGATTAGCCAAATTATTTTTTTTACATTATTCCAATAATTATTATCCAATATTTTGGCTGTTGTTTATTTGCCAGGCTTCATATCACAAACTTATTTAAAAGCTATAGGTGTCACTGAAAGTCTTCTTGAGATCATTAAAAAAAAAAAAAAAATAAAAAATAAAAATAAAGTAAGTGCAAAAATATGTACGCTCCTCACTAATAAAGAATTTTTATAACTTACAGATTAACACACCTCCCATCCAGCAGTGTTTAATATCAGAGCTGATTTTTTATTTTTTTTCTTCCAGTTTTTTTTTTTTTTTTTTTTTTTTTTTGTGGGGGTCTGTCTTTGTCTTTTGACAACAAATTTTTTTTTTTTCCTCTTAGGAAAATATTTTTTTCTTTTTCATACTTGCATTCTTCACATTTGCAAAGAATATTGACATTTTGTTAGAAGTTCCAAATAAGTTCTATTTGCAATATGAGGTGTGGTAAACAAAAAGCCTGATTCTTTGTATTTTGTTATTTGTTTCTTTTTTTTTTAAATAAATAATATAGTATATAATTACCATTGCTATACATACATTTTATATGTATATATATATATTTTTATATGTATATATATATATATATACACATTTCATATATATATATACATACATACATACATACATATATATATATATATATATATATATGCGTATATGTGTGTGTGATAGTTTTATTCAGTTCCTGTTGAGTATGATCTCGTAGTCACAGCAGTTGAAGTGGAAGAAGGTGATGTTGAAATGACCATTGGAACAGAAGTCGGAAATATTGCACATGTCATTTCTGGCGGAAGAGATTTTGGTTCCACGGAATCGTAGGAATCATCAAGAGGTTCTGATTTGATAAACATTGTTGGGTCACTGTCAAATGTCTGTGGAATCTAAAGAGAAAAAACAAAACAAAAAAAGAAACAAAATTGGATATTTGCATATTTCTTACTACTACTACTAGTGGTAGTAGTAGTACTACTACTACTAACAACAACAATAAAAACATTGCAGGAATATCAGCCAGAAGGAATGGCAGAAAAATGACAGTTACAAGACATGGGATTTCTCCGTTAAGACAAATCATGTCATTGAAGCAGAAATAGCCGACCATATTGTTAAGCTATAGAACTTGACTGTTGAAATAATTCCTGTAGTAATATGAGCACTTGGAACATGACCTAGATAACTGAAAGTGTGCTCATGGAGAATTGGAACTGAGACCAAGATTGTAGACCTCTAGAAAACTGCCATCATTTACTCAACAAAGATTCTCTGAAACGTTCTTAAGTCATGAGGAGTCTCGTTAGTACCATGCCTCAAAAACAGAATTCCCATTGACTATATCCATGTGCAATACCAACATAATGATAATAACTAGGCAAATCCCTATTTAACGAACATTTCTCTTAATAATCAAAATAATTTCAGCAGATGATGTTATTTTGTTTATTTTCCTTAATTGGTTTCCATCATTCAATAGTGAGCATCTGAAATATGGCGCTTTTATTGCAGCTGCCATCACATCTCAGCATTTTGACTAGGAACAAAGTATAGTTTCTGCTCTCAGGTGGATAAACTACATTACATCTTTCAGTTGCGTCTCTGTCTTTGGACAGAGTGCAACTGAAAATATTACTGAGACGTGCATAGTCTCGGGAAACAGCTGCCCATGGCAGTACCTCCCTCATTGCACTAAACAGGAGAGATCGGTAGTAATACCTATGCCAGCACAACTGATAGTTGCCGAGGTTGGGATATACTTGGACATGGCCCAGGTGCATGCACTTGGGCTCCCCACATTAAACTGGCCTTGTGTCACATCCTGACAGTGTTGGATAGCAAGAAAATACCATCACTTCTTGGCCTTTTGGCTTGGGAGGTTCAACTAATTTTAAGCCCAAGCCCCGGCTGGGCTCCCACCCACCAAGCAGTACCTCCCCTTCATGAGAGGGCTGGATTTTATTGCCCAGTTTCCCTAAAAGGGGAAGGAAATGCCAAGTGGTCTTAGATATTATTATTATTAATTTTTCACTAATCTTTCTTTCATCCTATTTTTCTTGCTTCTTTACACCTTGTAGTAGTAGTAGTAGTAGTAGTAGTAGTAATGTCAATTTCTTAGATGAAGCATTGTCATTATTATCAATTTTTGACTAGTGTCTCTTTCATCTTATTTCTCTTGTTCCTTTACATCTAGTTGCAGTTGTAGTAGTATTAATGTTGTGTGAATTTCTTAGATGAAGTATTCTCATTATTGTTAATTTTTGAGTAGTCTTTCATCTTATTTCTCTCACTTTTAAGAAACTTGCCGATTATGTCAATGTATGCAATTTCCAAGTGGCCTTGCCAATTTTTGTTTTAAATTATAAGCAAAAAAGAAAATGCATAAATGTCTTACCTGCCTGGTAATGTTTTTCATAAAATCCACTCCAAAATAGACAGTAGTAATAAGAATTAAGGAAAAAAAAAATAAAAGAACAAAGAAATTTGGGAATTAACTCAAATGTCATAGTTAAGGTTATCTATTTTTCTTTTTAGGACAAAAAAAAAATAGAACAAGGGTCAGAGTCCATTCAAAAGTCACAGTGTTCAATTAAATAAAAATCAGTACTCAATGATATCTGCTGGGTATAACTCTGCTTCAGACGAGAAGAATATATGATTAAAATCTGTTCAGTGTCTTCAGTCAATGAGGTTCACCAATTTGTTTGCTATCAACTAACTACCCCTTTTAATCTTATTGATTTTTCAAATTACGAATAATCCTTCTCAGAGAAGGAGGAAATTCTGTCAAAAATTGTCTAAAGTTGTGTTGATGTGAGTTATATATATAATATATAAATAATACATATTAAAATTGCATATATATATATATATATATATATATATATATATATATATATATATATATATATATATATATATATAAAAAGGCTTAAACATAAATATTTCATGGTCATAATTTATTCCACTGGAATCGTAAATACGATCCAATTCATCAGACCTACAAATTCAAGAAGAAAACAGAAAAGAACAACTCCAGAAATAAAAAGAGAATTTAGAGAGAGTGTAAGTATGAGAGTGCGGGACGAATGTTAGAGCTAAAGAGAGGGGTAACAGACGAGAGAAGGTGGGAGATTAAAACTTAACAAAGAGGGTTTTTTTTTTTTTTACTAGAGGTGAGTGGATATATATAAAAGTGAACATAGAAGTCAACACTTAGAGTCTGTTTCATCCGAGATGCAATCGTCAGGCCATTTTATAACTGTTATTTATAACTGTTATTTTGTGCGATTTTTTTCGACAGACTTTCATGTTTGTAGCTCTTTCTTTTTTTAAAACCTTTTTTTTCCCCTCGAGATTGATTTGATTATTGGCAAATCAAAAATTCAAGGGTTTTTCGAAAGAGGTATAGTTATCTATATTTGTATATATATATATATATATATATATATATATATATATACTACAGTCCAAAAGTTTGAAGCCACCCCCAGAATTAGCCTTGAATGAACTTGAGAGAAGAGTGAAAGAAAAATGAAAAAGAGCTCTCAGAGTCATTGAAAAAATAATGGAATCACTTATCGAACTTATACTTTGAGAAACTTTTGCAATGAATGCCAAAACTATGTGCTGCAGTAATGAATGCTAAAGGAGGATATTTTGACAAGAGCAAAATTTCATCATAAAATGCTTTTTTTCTTTTTATCATAACAAAAAAAATCATGTCTTTTTTTAACCATGCATAATAATTTTCTCTTATTTAACGTACAAAACAACCACTTTTGGGGCTAATTTAAAAAAATACCATGGGTGGCCTCAAACTTTTGAACTGTAGTATATATATATATATATATATATATATATATATATATATATATATATATATATATATATTAGGCAGCATATGATTTACATACAAAGAATAATCACACATAGAATTAATCAGAAGTATCAATGCGGTTATTGGCGACATCCATCGCTAGAAAACATAATATATGCATTAAAATCCTGTTCATCCATAGTGCGAGTTTTGATCCTTGAAGAAAAACTTGTTGTCTGTAGTTTTTCAGTTTATTTGATGTTAAAATGCTAGTACTTACGGACAGTCTTCCATCCATCATCAGGCATGTGTTTTTTTTCCCTATAAAATCAAAAACTTGAGACGATATACCTGTATGTCGACCGAAAGATGTTTTTTGAATATCTGCCATTATTGACGGTTGTAAGATATCGGAACGTGCAAAGACGCAACGTTAAGTTTTTCAAAAATTTTTAAGTGAGAATTTTATTTAAATATTTCTTGTGATGTGTTAAATCCACGTATTCTATTTTTACAAGTGTATTCAGTTTTTATGTCATGAACTAAGTATATAGTTCAATAATATAGTACTAATAACCGCATTGATACTTCTGATTAATTCTATGTGTGATTATTCTTTATATGTAAATCATTTATTAAAAACTATTGATCCGCAGTACATAAAAAAATTCCTATAAAAAAAATTACTACTATATATATATATATATATATATATATATATATATATATATATATATAAAAATGGACTCTCCCAATGCATAAGGATCTGAGACAACCTCATTCAGTTTTTATGTTTGTGTCATATATGAGGACATGGCGTAGTGGTTAGAATGTTTGCTTTCTGACCATGAGTTTCAGGCTCGAATCTCACCATGATAGATTTGTCATGAAGATAGCTGCTTGATGATATCAGTCTGAGGCAGTTTGGAAAGTGCCAGAAAGCCATGCCACAGGTTGTCCCACATGAATGAAATTGGGTAATTGTTGATGGTTGTGTTAGCATGAAGTCACAAGTCATCGTGACCGAAGATTTAAGCATGCTGACCTTGTTCAGACTGCTGATCACACAAGATAATGCGCGCTCTCCCAGAAACTGTAACTAAGGTCAGCATAGATGCAGTATAAACCACAAGTTGGATTTGTGGGTGTTGAACAAAGACAAATGTTCCTGAGCAGGTTTCTGCAGCAGGGATTTACGAGCCATCCTAGTAGACGGGCATTCGTGGGTATGAATGGCCAGCTTTATATATATATATATATATATATATATATATATAAAGAAATATATCTTAGGTATATATATATATTTATGGGATAAAGTGCTCAATATCAGAGATAGAGCATGAGTAAAATAAAAGATGAAACATATATATATATATATGCGTATATATATATATATATATATATATGTATGTATGTATAAATATAAAAGTTTATATTTAGTCAATACTTAGAGGCGATATAGGCTGTTTCATTTTATATGAAATCATCAGGCCAATCTGTGATATTGAGCACTTTATCCCATAAATATAGCACATTAAGAGTATATTTTTATATATATATATATATATATATATATATATATATATATATATATATATATAAAACAGTCTGTCTGTGGATGACTATATGCACTCCCACTCATGGGTTGAGCACTTTGAAAAAGGGAATTTGATGGCTGCTGCTGCTATAATGTTAAGCTCTTTGTGATGAATAGAGCACTCTGGCAGCTGATAATGCTTATATCATGATATAATGCGTTAAAAATTCTCTTTTTCCATAGCGTGCACTAATGGTCTAGGGGTATGAGTCTCCGACTGATATGGAATGAAAGTTTTTATATATTAATTTAATATTACCCTTGATGTAAGAGATATTATTACTTAATAATATAAGTATATAAGTAATTTGGTCATATTATACTAAAACTTTTTCTTTTTCATACTGAAACCCAACAAAAGGATATGTTTTAAACTTTCCTTTTCGTTTCATGTGAATGCTTGGGAAAAGGAACCGCATTGCTCTGTTGCACTGGACACCCCAGTATTGGACCCCAGTTTCCTCAATTTTCTCTCCAAGTAATTGTAGGACCTCATCTCGAGAGATTCCAACATCAAGATCACCTGTCCAGAAAACCAGTTCTGTAAAAGTATAACGTTATAAAAAGTAGATATAAGTAAGAAATACATATATTGAAATACAAAGACCAAATCAGCCTGTTCAGCCTGAAGATCAAAAAATCAAACTATAGTAGAAGGTGAGGCTTTTATAGCTTTTTAAAAAGAAACATTCTTTGAATTTTATTACAGTTCTGTTTTCAGAACTGGTCAGTTTTGGAATAGGTTTTGCCTCATAATTGATTTAAGTGAATTAAAACCATATATATATATATATAAATATATATATATACTAGCAGCATGGTCTGGCGTTGCCCGTGCTTGATTCAAAAATCGTACAACTCATACAGCAATTGCTATCACTTGACTTAAAATATTTTTGCCCTTCCTTGCCTTTAAAGGGGTGCCCTTTGCCGTGCTGATGTTGCTACATGCCTTATTTCTTGCCTATCTCACACTGCAAATTTTTTCTAAGCGCTATACAAAATGAACACAAAACGATCAACTTTAAAAAAGGACTCGTAACTGGAAAAACCAAATGAAAAAAGAATGTTAACAACAAATACTGTTTCACACCCAACCCAGTTCTGCGGAATCAGAATCAACGTTGAGTTTAATCAAGCAAATGAGCCAATTGGAGTAAAGTGCCATGCGGATTTAAATTTTTCCCACTTGTGACGAATGCAGCTATCGATTTTTTTTTGCATGCTAGTTAACATTCGTGTCAGTCAGCTGTTGGCTCTCATGCTGGCCAATAGAATCTTCCTGCCTATTCGTGGTAGCCAGCTATTGGCTCTCACTCTGGCCAGTCAAAAATGGCCACAAACTACATGAAAACTGCCGTAGAAGTATGAAAAAATCGATTATTTCCACTATCGATGGGAGTTGGGAAATGCAAAGTCAGTCTTCGTGTTCCCACTAACTTGGAGCATGTGCATGTAAATTTTGGTGCAAATCCGTCGAAAATTGCGGCTGTGCATTCGTTACACACACACACATCCTGCCTTATATATATATATATATATATATATATATATATATATATATATATATATATGTGTGTGTGTGTGTGTGTGTGTGTGTGTGTGTGATGTGTGAACACTCATTGCCACTTTTGTCATGTCAACGATTACTCATCACTTTCATAATGCTCGTTGTGGTAGAGAATTTGTAATCGCAGATACAGCTATAGTAACGCCGTTGAACAATACCGGTGTCAGACGCCTTCGAATAACACTCGCACTAATAGTACTAGTTCAGTAATACTCGCTCAAATAGTAACCACCGAATAGTAATCTGTGTAGTGACCTGTATAGAGAAATAGTATGGTGAATAGTATAGAGAATAGCAATCCGTATAGTAATAGAGGATAGAATAGAGATGGTGATCCATTAGAAGCCACTCTAATTCCCATATATATATTTCCTCTGTGATCACATGATCTACTTATTCAAAATGAAATCGCCCATGTTTGCTCACTGACGATCTATGTTCAAACTACAGTGTTGTCAATGAAATTTTATTCCTATTTGACATATATATATATATATATATATATATATGTATGTTTGGATAGATGTGAGTTTGTGACCCTGGGTTTCACGCTTTACAACCAAATATGTTAGCTCTATCTCTGATATTGAGCGCTTTCTAATAAGTACCGCGCATATAATATATAAATATTTATACATATATATATTTATTTATATACACTTTTCACACACACACACACATATATATATATATATATATATATATATATATATATATATATATATATATATTTGTTATATATTGCTTAGACTGTATTTGAGTAGGTTCTCCGTTTTTATTTATATATTAAACTGTATATTTATTTCCATCTACCAGCTTGAATATGTGAGAAATTTTACTCGACAAATATGCACTTTCCGGCAGAACAAACTAGAATCATGATACACTTAGACACATAAATTTACACATAGACTCGACTTGATACGACAAATGCATGGGAAGTCTGGTTAATCAATGTAAAACAAACAACACAAAAATTAAAAACACTCAAAATACAGTATTTAAGCATGCTGACCTTGTTCAGACTGCTGATCACACAAGATAATGCGCGCTCTCCCAGAAACTGTAACTAAGGTCAGCATAGATGCAGTATAAACCACAAGTTGGATTTGTGGGTGTTGAACAAAGACAAATGTTCCTGAGCAGGTTTCTGCAGCAGGGATTTACGAGCCATCCTAGTAGACGGGCATTCGTGGGTACGAGTGGCCAGCTTTATATATATATATTATATATATATATATATATATATATATATATATATATTCGACTGGAATTCGAACTCGGCTCTCCGATTCCTCAATCCAAGCCGCTATCCATTACCCTACCGTGCCTCCTACATTACATACACTTACGTGCTAATACCATTGGGAAAGGTGTGAATCCTCTTCTTCTTCCTCTTTGAAATTGCAGTATCTTGGCTGATTGTTTTAGGTGTTGCCATAGAAGGATATGACTACACAAACAAGAAATTCAAACTCAGCTTGCATTTGCAGGGCTAACATTTTGTTTGGCGAAAATAGTCATCTAAAGAGTGCTCATGGTGAATTTCCTTCATTTTTTTTTTTTTCTTAACTAGAAATTGCAGGGACACAAAAAAAATAAAACAAAAAAAAATAAGGTGAAGGAAATTGAAATCGAAGGAAAGAAAAAAATAAAAGAGAAGGAAGAAAAAAGGGAGGAGGAAAAAAGGAAAAAAATATTAATGGCATATAAAAGGAAGGGAAAGGGAAAAGAAAAAAGGACGAAAAAATAGAAAACTAAAACGGTAGAAAAAGAGAAAAATAAAAACATAATCGACAGAGAAAAATAAAAACGTAAAAGAAAAAAGAAAAATTAAGTAAGAGAAAAATCAAAATTAAATAAGAGAGAAAAATAAAAATTAAATACGAGAGAAAAATAAAAATTAAATACGAGAGAAAAATAAAAATTAAATAAGAGAGAAAAATCAAAATTAAATAAGAGAGAAAAATCAAAATTAAATAAGAGAGAAAAATAAAAATTAAATAAGAGAGAAAAATCAAAATTAAATAAGAGAGAAAAATAAAAATTAAATAAGAGAAAAATAAAAATTAAATAAGAGAGAAAAATAAAAAAGAGAAAAAATAAAAAATAAGTAAAAGAAAAATTAAAAATAAGCAAAAGAGAAGAAATGATAAAAAAAAAGTGAGAGAAAAATATAAGAAAAAAGAAAGAGAAAAATTAAAGAATAAGAGAGAAAAACTACTTAAGAGAATATAAAATAAAAAAATAAAAGAAAGAATTAAAAATAAGAGAAAAAATAAATAAGAATAAAAATAAAAATTAAAGGAAAAAAATTCTAAAAATAAAAATTAAAGGAAAAAATTCTAAAAATAAGTAAGAGAGGAAAAAAATTATATAAAAAATTATAAAAATTATATATAAAAAATTTATATTTAAAAATTATATATAAAAATTATAAAAAATTATATAAAAAATATATAAAAAAAAAAAAAAAACAAGTGAAAAAGAAGCGAGACAAAATATAAAAAAATAAGTAAGATGAAAATAATAAGAGAAAATAAAAAGTAAGCAGGAAAAAAAAATTTTTTAAAAAAAAAATCGAAACGGATAATATCACTCACCTGGTAGAAACTGAAGAATCTTTTCAAGATCTTGGGCAAGATCCCTTAATGGTTGATATGTAACATTTTCCGAGTCACTAAGTTCCTCTTGCTCTTGAAGCTGCTCAATGAGAGCAACGCCAAAATAATAGGTCGTCGCAAAAGTTAAGGACAAAACAAATAAATCATCAAATAAAATAGACAAAAAGAACAAAAAAAAAAATGTCAGCTCAGCCACGGCTAATTTAGTCGAGACAGAAAACACTAGAGAATCAGACGTCTGAAAGAGTCAATGTATATGCCATGCCATGAGGACCCCCTTAGTCGGCCTAGCATAGAAATAAATACCATATGGGAGCCGTCAATTAAAAAAAAGAAAAACAGCTACGATTCACCACCAGTATAAAAGAGAAACCAAGTGTGACAAGCAGCAGCGGTACTCACCAGCAGGCATGCTAGGTTTAAGTATCCTAAATACAGGATTATCCTTCATACAGGATTATCCCATGAGATAATAAACTAGTGGATTTATGACTTTGGAGACATATTAATCGTGAGTTTAATCAAGCTGGGGAGGTGTGTACTTGGACTCGTGAAAACAGGCCGAGCAATAACTGAGCAGTACTATGAATAAGAAATGAATAAGATACCCCTAGACATGGGCAGTGGGACAAGAACAGTCTATTCCAGTTGATTAAATAAAGGGTTCAATCCGGTATTCCATATAGGTTACCTGGATCGACACACACCTGATGAAGGCTGGAGAGCACAACGGCCGAAATGTTGTGATAACAACAATAAAGATGAGGACAATAGTCTGAATGTAAATTGTGTAAAGAATGATAACTCCTCATCCCAGAAATTCGGAGAGAAAAATCAGTGAAGGAGAGCACAACAGTCGAAACGTTATGACAACAACAACAAATATAAGGACAATAGTCTGCATGTAAATAGTGTAAATGATGCTAACACCTCATCCCAGAAATTCAGGCAGAAGGTGATCAAGATTTATCAACAACAAAGATGAGAACAATAGTTCGCATGTAAATAATGATAACTTCTCATCTCAGAAATTCTGATAGAATGCGATCAGGTGATATCAACAACAAAGATGAGGTCAATAGTCCGCATGTAAATAGTGTAAATAATGGTAACTCCTCATCCCAGAAATTCAGGCAGAAGGCGATCAGCTGATAATAACAACAACGTGAGGACAATAGTCCACATGTAAATAGTGTAAATAATAACTCCTTATCTCAGAAATTCAGACAGAAGCCGATCAGCTGATAATAACAACAAAGATGAGGATAATTGTCTGCATGTAAATAACGTAAATAATGATAAATCATCATCTCAGAAATTCGGACAAATGTTACATGTTTTTTTTTTTTTGCAGAGAGCGTTGATCAAAAACTTGCTAACGATTGCAACTGGAAACAGCATATTTGAAAAAGGATATTTCTTAAATTTGCCTTTTCTCTGTGCCAAACTATTCGGGAACTCCTCTCGGACAGCCTTGTTGCAGGCTGGCCCCCAGTGTACAACTTCCGGAATGTTCAGAAGGAGGCTTATCTTCTGCAGCAGGATATCACGTGACACATAGCCTTTTGCACAGCCAACCAGCAACTCTGAAAAGAAAAAAAAAAGATATATTTCTATAATTTTGAATCTTCATTTTTAAAAAAATTAACACAAAGAGATCTCGCGCAATGAAAAATAACACAAAGAGATCTCGCACAATAAAAAAAATAACACAGAGATCTCGCGCAATAAAAAAAATAACGGAGATCTCGCGCAATAAAAATTAACACAAAGAGATCTTGTGCAATAAAAAAATAACACAGAGATCTCGCGCAAGAAAGCTAAACATACGTTTGTGATATTTGTGTAAATTTTCGGCTAAATTACGAAACTGTATTAATGTCATCTGTACTTAAGAGAACGATTAAAATAAAGCTTTTACACTACTAATTTAAAAAAAAAAAAAAAAAAAAAAGAAATGGATTTACGTTTAAAAATCATTCAATAACCCACAATTTGTGAAGACTATTATCCTCATCTTTATCGCCATATTTATCACAACGTTTTGGCCGTTGTACGCCCCGGCCTTCTTCATGTGGTTGGAATGTCGAACTGAACCCTTTATTTCGCTCACTGGGACAGACCATTCTAGTTCAACGTGCCATGTCTAATGGATATCAGTTATCAGTTATCTTCTGTTAATTCCCCTTTCCAAGTTCTCCACCACCTTAACCAGGTATTGAACTCACACTCTTTGGGCCTTGTCACTGGATCTAACTAACGCCATTGTCCTCAAGGACGCATGGCACAGTGGATAAAGGCGTTGGATAAAGGTGTGTGTTCGTTCTTATTTGACACAGACAAGTACACTCAGCAACACGACACTCACCATCCCTCTTTAATGCGATGAAGAGTGTGATGCCTCGGGGTTGGGATCTGAGGGAACAGATATCCCTTAAAGGTTAACCATGCACTGTCCATAAACTGAAACAACTCAGAGAGACAAAGAGTCGCCACAGGCTTGTCTGCTGTAGGCAGTAGACTCTCTGACTCTTTAAGTGAGTTCGATCCTCACTGGGTGCCCCATACTTTCGGCCTTGTGCCACATCTAAGCTGTGCTTAGAAAATGGTTAGGGCACCTCGACGTGGTGTAACGGTTAGAGAGCTTGTCTTGCTGGATCAATTACGACTGAATAGTGAGTTCGATCCTCACTGGGTGGTCCATACTTTCGGCCTTGTGCAACATCTAAGCCGGGTTTAGAAAATCGCTAGACAGCTTAACTGTAAAATATTGAGACCTATCTGCCAATATAGTACTGCGCTTAAATTTGTAAAGTCAAAGTAACAAAGAGGAAAGCAATATTTATTTTGTTTTAATACAAAAATATCGCGCAAGGCCAAAAGGGGGATAAGGGAAGTCTGTCTTAATCTTAAACTAATCTAGACATGATTAACGACCCAAACATACCACGGTATTCCTTACACAAAACCCACACATTCTTACTTATCATTACTTACCATACAGCCACCATAATACATCATAGTCTCTATGTAGACCTGACTAGTTCCCAGATGTACAATTTGTCTGGGAGTGGTGGGAAAAAAAATAAAAACATTTAAAGAATAAAGCTCATCAGAACAATTACCATGAAAGTATTTATAGAAAAGGCAGAGGGAAGCTACATTACGGTGATGGGAAAGTGACTGGAGCCGGGATGCCAGGTCAGAGCCAATAACATTGCAGATTCTTTGTAATTTATCAAAAATCTCTAAATACAAAGCAGAAGCACCAAACCAGATGTGGTAGCAATATTCAATGCATGGTCGATATATAAATGTGTAAAATAGATTCTGTCAAGAAAATTTGTTTAGCAGGACACAGTGAAACAACTATCCTAGCAGTGGATCTAGCAATAGATTCGATATAATTTTTCCACTTTATGTTAGCAGAAGACGTTTGCCAGAGCCTGCAGTTATCTTTCTGTCTGCCATCAACACTTCAATATGTCCTGTCCATTTAGGGTACTGGCGATCATAGCCCTCCACAATTTCTTGTCCTTTGTATTTCTTAATAAATTTTCTCTTTTTATTGTCTTTTCCAGATTCTACTTCGCCATCCATTTACTAAAACTCGCTAGACAGATTATGTGTTGTCTTTCTTTGTCCCTCTTACCTCCAAGCCGTCCTGTGAGTATAAAATTTTCCAAGCCCACTTTTCTCATTACGTGGCCTAGAAATTTCAACAATCTCTTCATGATGTTAAGTATAAGTGTCCTTTTTGTCTGCATTTTCTCTAAAACTTTGTCGCTGTTCACATGTTATTCTCAGCAGCCTGATGTAAAAGCACATTTGTGTTGCTTCAAATCTCTTCGTCTGTAAGGAGATTGTCCAGTATTCACTGCCATATAGGAGGATTGATATTACATAGCAGTTCAGTACTCTTTTCATTGTTTCTCTTGCCTCAAGTCTTCTCTTCATCTGTGAGGAAATTGTCCAGCATTCACTGCCATATAGGAGGACTGATATTACTTAGCAGTTCAGCACTATTTTAATTGATTCTCTTGCCTCAAGTCTTCTCTTCATCCGTGAGGAAATTGTCCAGCATTCATTGCCATATAGGAGGATTGATATTACATAACAGTTCAGCACTCTTTTCATTGTTTCTCTTGCCTCAAGTCTTCTCTTCATCTGTGAGGAAATTGTCCAGCATTCACTGCTATATAGGAGGATTGATATTACATAGCAGTTCAGCACTCTTTTCATTGTTTCTCTTGCCTCAAGTCTTCTCTTCATCTGTGAGGAAATTTTCCAGCATTCACTGCCATATAGGAGGATTGATATTACATAGCAGTTCAGCACTCTTTTCATTGTTTCTCTTGCCTCAAGTCTTCTCTTCATCTGTGAGGAAATTGTCCAGCATTCACTGCTATATAGGAGGATTGATATTACATAACAGTTCAGCACTCTTTTCATTGTTTCTCTTGCCTCAAGTCTTCTCTTCATCTGTGAGGAAATTGTCCAGCATTCACTGCCATATAGGAGGATTGATATTACATAGCAGTTCAGCACTCTTTTCATTGTTTCTCTTGCCTCAAGTCTTCTCTTCATCTGTAAGGAAATTGTCCTGCATTCACTGCCATATAGGAGGATTGATATTACATAACAGTTCAGCACTCTTTTAATTGATTCTCTTGCCTCAAGTCTTCTCTTCATCTGTGAGGAAATTGTCCAGCATTCACTGCTATATAGGAGGATTGATATTACATAGCAGTTCAGTACTCTTTTCATTGTTTCTGTTGCCTCAAGTCTTCTCTTCATCTGTAAGGAAATTGTCCAGCATTCACTGCCATATAGGAGGATTGATATTACATAGCAGTTCAGCACTCTTTTCATTGTTTCTCTTGCCTCAAGTCTTCTCTTCATCTGTGAGGAAATTGTCCAACATTCACTGCCATATAGGAGGATTGATATTACATAGCAGTTCAGCACTCTTTTCATTGTTTCTCTTGCCTCAAGTCTTCTCTTCATTTGTGAGGAAATTGTCCAACATTCACTGCCATATAAGAGGATTGATATTACATAAAAGTTCAGTACTCTTTTCATTGTTTCTCTTGCCTCAAGTCTTCTCTTCATCTGTGAGGAAATTGTCCAGCATTCACTGTCATATAGGAGGAGTGATATTACGTAACAGTTCAGCAATCTTTTTCTTTGTTTCTAAGGAATTTTTTTTCCGTTTCTTTGCTTAGCTTTTGGAAGGAATCTTTCGCTATCCCAATGCACCTTCGGATTTCAGTGTCACACTTACCGTTTTCTGTTAAAACACTTCAGATATATTGAAATTGTTGTACTAGATAAATAAAGGCACGAGGTGTTAGAAAGCAGAGAGATAATTTTTTATTTTTAAATTCAAGTTTCTGATTATCAGCTACGAAGTTTTTTTGGCTTTGATCGGAAAAAAAAACTAATTCTAATTCCAATATCTTGAAACAATTTCCTTTTACACTCTTCATAACCATTCCTCAGGTTCATGAAACCCGTAGACCTATAGCAGTGGCAGTGGTATTTCTTGGATAGCCTGACAGAGACCAACCTTCTCCAGATTGGTTTTTGAATTCAGAGTTTTTCCATCTCCTTGACCAGTCACCACTCAAGGATATAGGCCTTCCCCCCTCCTATGGATAAATAACAAGACAGTGTCCTGTTGTTTACCCATAATTAGATAGGGCAAAGAGATGCATCTATACCTTTCATGCTGTTCCCAAATTCCTCTCGATTTCATTACATTCTCATACGTGCTAATAGAATTCGAACTCGGCTCTCCGATTCCACAATCTGAGCCGCTATCTATTATTCTGCCGTGCCTCTGTTCTTATATGCCTGCAAATTAAGATTCCCAGCTTTTCCTATACAGATCCAACTAGAGTTTCCTTAAACACAAACCCCACTAATACTAGGTGACCTTTGGTATATTTACCAAGGGTTCATGTCCCTCGACAAACATTATCACTTACAGTCCATGTTATTTTAAAGTATCAAATACTCATTGTCTGCCTGAATGTTTAAATACAGTACAGTTCGACCTCTTTAATCTGCAACACCTGGGACCAGGCGACTGCCGGACCAGAGAAATGCCGGATGAAAGAAATCACCCTTAAAAGAAAAGAACCAATATAAAACTTGCCAGCTCATTCCACATATACCAGGTTTATCAGCAAAATTGTGAAATTGTTAGATTAAGCCTCGACCCGTTGTATCTTAGAAATGATTAAATATATGTTACTGGAATTCTCCAAAGTTTTTCTAGCACTATTGAACTCTACTTTGAACAATAACAATGTATTTATCTCTAAGTTGAAATGATAGTCCCTCTTGCTGTTCTGACCTTCTGATTCAGTTTTCCTCTCTACTGTTCCCTCTTTTTTAAACCTATTCGCCGTTCTCTTGATGGTTCTTGAATTAAGTCCGTGTATGAATGTCAATACGATCATTGAAGAACTGAATTTTATTTCCCTCAACATTTCTCAGTTGAGAAGACATAGCGGGGCTGACAAAAACAATTTTAACCTGTTCCCTCAACTCAAAGGGTTTTTCAGTGATTCTTACGACA